TTGAATTTTTCAAAATTCTAATAAATATTTTATTATTATAATCTCATGAAAAAATAATTATTAAGTGATCTGATGAGTGAAACAATGTTGTGATAATGAGAGGGAATTTTATTTTGTAGTAGCCAAAGTTATGTATTATAAGCAATGGCCTCAAATCAACATGGAACATTTGGAAGGTTTCATCAGCAGCAAAAAATAGGACTGAATTTAAATAATTCATGGTGTTTTCAAGTAGGGCTTAGGCACTTCAAAAGGAATGAATACTTTAAAAAAGGGGGCAAAAATATGCTATATGTTGAACTTCCGTGTAATCATTATGTTTTGAGTGCATGTGCATTTAACCAATGAAAATGTACTTTCTTCTAACATACTCGTGTAATAGACAGGTTATTTTAATGGCCATAGTTTGTACATTATGCCAATGGAGATATGTTTTCTTTTATTTGAATGTAATTAACATGTGTGACTGAGAAATTGATACTCGGTCATATATGGAAAACATCAGTCAACTGAATATTTTAATTTATTTTATAATTTATTACCTAAAATTATAATAATGTAATACTTTTGGATATTTTTTTCTGAGAGGTTAAGGATTGGCTGAATGCTGATTGGCTAATCTTTGCCCATTGTATGAAAGTAGTTTTGCTGCGGAAACACATTTTGGGTCTCCTACCTCGGTATGGATGGAGTTGGCACAGGTGGCCCAGTCGTCCAAGGACCAGGGTGCTGTTGTACAAAACTACCCTAGCTCTACGACTGTCATAAGTCTATGTTGCAGTATGGGAGTTACCATCATCTTAGCACTAAGAAAACTTTGTACAGCAGCACCAAGCTATATAGGCTCAGCAGATTTGTATGATTACTGGTTCAACTCCAAAATTTCACCCAGTTTGTTTCTGGGTTTGTCTGCACCATACCAGTAGTCATAGGTTGCACCAAAATGGAAAACGTTGGAGACATGCATCACTTTGTGAGTTGCCATCACATCAAGTTTACAGACAGTGATGAAATACTGCTCAAATAGGCTTTAAACCAATTGACTCTGAAACTGGATAAACATGGAGCGGATCTAACCTCCTTCACTCGGATGCATGGCAGTGAACAGTTCCTGACAATATGAAGTCATCTTTTGGCAGTGGCCTTTACATTTGTTTGCCCACATACAGTAAACTACAGTTATAACAAACTCAAAGGGAGCACTAATTTTAGTTCATAATAACCGTAGTTCGTTGTAAGCATTTTGTACAACAAATACCTGGGACTAAAAAATAAGTCTGTTATATGGGTCAGTTCTTATAAGCGTGTTCATTCAAAATGTAGTTTATTTATTTCGAAAGGTTCAATGTAGCAAGCGCACAGATAGGGACACAGGTGGATATATACGGGGGAAGCCATATTGAATACAATGTAGAAATTTGGAGTTCAGGAAAATATATAACTTTTCTCAATCACACATGGTGCCGCTGGGTGCCCCAGTCATCTAAAGTTCTATAATTTGCTGTGCAGAGTTGCATCCCTTAGGCATGCAAGGATTTTATTATTGTGGGCTGAATTCATTCTGATCATGTTTCTAGGTTGTCATCACGATGCGCCTGATTGTAGGTTTCATACAGTTGTAAACAACTAACATATCTGGCCTCCCACCCACATCAAGCTGACACAGTTATACCTCTATTATGAATCTTGCAATCCCATTGGTTAATCCGTGTCACATGACGAACAATACATTTCAATGTAAACCTTCAAATCATGTGACTGACACTGACTTTAATAGTGACTCATTACGTGGTCAGTATTGACATGTCATGTGGTCAGTATTGACATGTCACGTGGTTAGTAATGACATGTCACATGGTCCGTATTGACATGTCACATTGTCAGTATTGACATGTCACATGGTCAGTATTGACATGTCACATGGTCATTATTGACATGTCACATGATGAATATTGACTCATGGTTGATGTATGTCATCAATCCCAATTGCGTGGATCGATGCTGATGATGTCAATCACTGGATTGTCTGGTCCAGACTTGAATATTTACAGACCACCATCATATACCTGGAATATTGCTGAGTTTAGCCTTAAACAACAAACGAAGCATATTGACATCGTCAAGAGTTGTATAATATTACTTTTTATGAAATTCTATTTAAGCAGTGTTAAAAACAACTCTCAGTCGCCAGTGGCTGATCACACAGCATGTGTTACCAGGACTGTTTGTGTACATAGGGTATATTCAGTTTTTACAGTATTCATATCATACCACGGAAGATGTGAGCGGAGTGGAAATGTATTGGTTATAACAGCGATATATAGATACATACATACATATATATATATTAATGTCATATTCAGGTGAATTATTTGAATACAAAGCATGGTGGACATGGTACAGTATTTCTGGAACAGTGATTCAGATGAGGTAAAGGGCCTTACGTTTCCCTGTACAGGTGGCTGCCCTTGTTTCTAACTTGTTCCCAATGAATCTCAATACCTGTAGAGATGGGTGCCCTTGTTCCCAAGGAATCTCAATACCTGTAGAGATGGGTGCCCTTGTTCCCAAGGAATCTCAATACCTGTAGAGGTGGGTGCCCTTGTTTCTGACTTGTTAATACCTGTTTCCTAGGAATCTCAATACCTGTAGAGGTGGGTGCCCTTGTTTCTGACTTGTTCAATACCTGTAGAGGTGGGTGCCCTTGTTTCTGACTTGTTCAATACCTGTTCCTTAGGAATCTCAATACCTGAAGAGGTGGGTGCCCTTGTTTCTGACTTGTTCAATACCTGTTCCTTAGGAATCTCAATACCTGTAGAAGTGGGTGCCCTTGTTTCTGACTTGTTCAATACCTGTTCCCTAGGAATCTCAATACCTGTAGAGGTGGGTGCCCTTGTTTCTGACTTGTTCAGTACCTGTAGAGATGGGTGCCCTTGTTTCTGACTTGTTCAATAGATGTAGAGATGGGTGCCCTTGTTTCTGACTTGTTCAATACCTGTTCCTTAGGAATCTCAATACCTGTAGAGGTGGGTGCCCTTGTTTCTGACTTGTTCAATACCTGTTCCTTAGGAATCTCAATACCTGTAGAGGTGGGTGCCCTTGTTTCTGACTTGTTCAATACCTGTTCCTTAGGAATCTCAATACCTGTAGAGGTGGGTGCCCTTGTTTCTGACTTGTTCAATACCTGTTCCTTAGGAATCTCAATACCTGTAGAGGTGGGTGCCCTTGTTTCTGACTTGTTCAATAGATGTAGAGATGGGTGCCCTTGTTTCTGACTTGTTCAATACCTGTTCCCTAGGAATCTCAATACCTGTAGAGGTTGGTGCCCTTGTTTCTGACTTGTTCAATACCTGTTCCTTAGGAATCTCAATACCTGTAGAGGTGGGTGCCCTTGTTTCTGACTTGATCAATAGATGTAGAGATGGGTGCCCTTGTTTCTGACTTGTTCAATACCTGTTCCCTAGGAATCTCAATACCTGTAGAGATGGGTGCCCTTGTTTCTGACTTGTTCAATACCTGTTCCCTAGGAATCTCAATACCTGTAGAGGTGGGTGCCCTTGTTTCTGACTTGTTCAATACCTGTTCCTTAGGAATCTCAATACCTGTAGAGGTGGGTGCCCTTGTTTCTGACTTGTTCAATACCTGTTCCCTAGGAATCTTAATACCTGTAGAGATGGGTGCCCTTGTTTCTGACTTGTTCAATACCTGTTCCTTAGGAATCTCAATACATGTAGAGATGGGTGCCCTTGTTTCTGACTTGTTCAATAGATGTGTTTATAAGGCTCATGTACATGAGAAGCAGACTTGTTCATGTCAACACTTGCACAACAAAGCTGAATGTATGGGCCAGGCTATGATGTGTCAAACAAAGCCGATTTCTAATATTTGAACATGAGCAAGTCTCTGACCTTAGCTGATTTTCCGTAGTAGATAAAAACAGAGCAAACATATATTCAAAAACGAATCTTGGATCATGGGTTTGCTATTTCTCTCTCTTTAGCCATTACGGTTTATCCTGATAGAAGTTCAAAACATGCTGGTATGAGAAAGGATTAAGACTAGTTGTCAGCCATTTGAACGTTTGACAATTTTCGTACCAATTACACAGTTTTCCATAACTTAAGTTGTTGACAGTTCCATTGAACCAACATGGGGCCATGTCCTACCTCAGCCTTTCTAGATGGACCGTCTTTGTTAGTAACGTATTTGTTAGTAACGTCCAGTTAACTCTTATCATCATTCTGATCAGTAGCGGTACGGAAGGTGGGGTTTCGAGATAAACATGGATGTTTTCCTGTAGTCGTTGTTTCCCTGTTGCCAAGCAACATTGGCTTAAAGAAGATGGCTCCTTTTTAAGGATGTGACACCACTTTACAGTGGGGAATTAATTTTCTGTGTCAATTTTCTTTTGACATTACAATTAATAAAAGAAATAAACTGAATTAATTAGTTTAGGTCACAACAGTGGGTTTTTTCTTTTTCTTTCAATGACATTTAAAATTTCTACTATTTCTCTGTATTAAACTTAACTTCAAGTGAATCAGTAATAGTATTCTGGCTATGTTATGCTTACCAAGTAGAATATCTCATCTATGGAGCTAAAAAAAATGTCTGTTTTTCTGATGCAAGGAGTTAAAAGACAGTGCAGCAGACTTTATGATGCAAATGGATATAATTATTCCAGAAAATACCATTGATCAGTACTAAAGAAGTAAAAGCGATGAATGAGGTAATTACTGTATAAAGTTGATGAATAACAAATTAAATATTCTAATAGCAGCACTCGGAAACCTACATTAAAAGGATGTCATAAAACAGTAAATGTATCCCTGAATTTTTTAGAGGATACAATGAAATATGCAAATTACCAAGCACTCGTTCCTTATATGTACGTACAGTTGTGGAGTTTATTCAGTTGGCCCCATCAGACTGATGCATAATTCATTCTCCAACTTGCTGTAGCAGTTTGATTTATGCCTTCATAATGCGCTGGCAAAATGTGTTATATAATTGAGCAAAAACCTTCATGGACATAATTCATCATACGATTCTGTTTCTTGGTTGAACATGCAGTGCATTTAAATTGAGTGTCATTTTGTTGGAGTTGTGAAAAACCAACCAGGGTCTTTATACATGCTGATGCAATTTAACTCGTTGCTTTGGACCGCTCGAGGGAAAAGTCTCAAATGCTGTGTTTATCTGGGAACAAATCTCTTAAAATTCGAGAAAGGGGAGTAAAAAACTTCTCTATCTCTAAGGGGCCCAAGTAACCCAACTAGTTTGCTGGCAGATATGCAAGGCAACCTTTTTTTCCATCTTCCTTTGAAATAGCAGTTGCGCATCATGAATACATTTAGCTTCACCAGAGCCATAACTGCAGTGCATTTTTTTGGGGTGTCTGACTTACGCTAAAAACTTTTGTCGGTCATATGATAGTAGAGCCATAAGTGATGGCGGAGCGCAACGGTGGAGCTCCAAGTGCCAGGCCGGACCATGGGTGCGGGACCCCCCCAGAACGGGATAACTGGCACCCCCCGGGGAACCCCTTACCCCCAGGACTGATTGAAGAATGGAGGAAGACTCACGGACATATCCCTTCTCTGCCTGCATACTGGGCGCAGCAGCAACAGTTTAATGGCCCAGTTGAATTCCGGCCCGACTGGAATGCACTGCAATACACTGGTGAGCGAACTCGTTGCATATGTATAGTGTTGATCAACTCGCCAATTTAATCTGCTGGTGAATTCATGATTTCTCTCTTTCAATCATTCAAGGATTGTAGCCCCTCTCTCTGTGGGACATGCAGATCCACGTATATGTTACAGCCGGTGGAGGGACTTATATTGTGTGGGGTAATTGTACAATGTTTGCAACCAAGCCAGGCTTCAGCAAGTTTTCACGGACTCCTATCTGTCAGTTGAAATCAATATGTGAGGGAGTTTTTAATCATTTAGCAATTTCTTGTGTGTAATTCGTGCAATGGGCTATCATTTAGCAGAGAGAATGCCTTACTTGTGTATTGAGATGTGCAGGTATAATTTCTCCTCGGACACCACAGATGTTTGTCTCTTGTCGAAACTATCTTCAAGTTTGCCAGGTGAAGAAAAGGATTATCTCCCTTTGTTTTTGATCATTGAATGTTCTTCATTTCAAAGTTAGGAATTATTTTTCAGGTCATTCATATGCAAATAATAATGTTTGTGGCATAGTAGACTTTTAAGTTATTTTGTTTGATGGTTTGTAGGTGTTTTCCACAAAATGAAACTTTCACATTTTGTTCTCAACAACCCTGTTTAAGCCTGAATTTAGTGTAAGATTTATATATATATATCCAGCAATACATTTTACCATGAGACAATGCTCACTGTTTAATCTTGCAATCGGTATGAGTGGATAACTGACATGAGGCAGTACTCAAACCAAACCTAACACCAGAAGTCTGAAAGGTTTGATGATTTAAGAGGTTAAAGAACAACTAAATTTGTCATAAAACTCCAGACAAGTAGCGTTGAACTCTGTGCGAAAGTGGACTTGCCTAGGGACAAGTGAACAGTCCCCCCAAAAATGAACACTTTTAAACTCTTTTGCCATATGAAAGACGATCATGATGATGATTATTTTTTTAAGCTGAAGTATACTACCTAGCAACCTCCTGTTGATTCTGGGTGAGAGAGTTGGCAACAACCTATGCTGGTCTTAATGGTCAGTCTCGGTGACTTGGATGACTTAGTGTCATTATGACCCCCATGGCTTGGATCGTTGCTGACAATATCGATCACTGGAATTGTCTGATCCACATTCAATTATTCACAGGCTGCCGTCATATAGTTGGAATATTGTTAGTGCAACAGAAGACAACAAACATAGAAACCAACTTCCCAGAAAACACTTCCTATGATGAGTTATGAATGAAGTTATTTTCATGTTGAAACACATAACTCACATTACTTTCGAGTTTGGTTGTAATCTCAAGACCTCGCCAGTAAAGACACGTTATATTTCTCGTATGACAGTATGTCATCTGACAGCAGAGCTCATTTCCTCATCACTGAAGCAGCTAATCATTTCAAGTAAGTTTAAAAATTACATACATTTCACAAGAAACAGAGAATACTTGTCTGAAACTTGTTTAAACTTTCCTGAATCCAAGCTCAGACAAGTCGAGATTAGATATGTGATTACCAGTAAAGCGTATCTAAAAAAAATGTTTGTAACTTTCATACTTCATAAATAGTAAAATTCATCTCGAAACATGTATGACTAAGGAAGAAAGTTTTATCAAGAAGATAACCAGTTTCCTTCAGTATTTGAATCTAGCCTAGCATGAAAATTAACTAACCATATCGTGGTATGTATGTAAAATCTGATTTATAAATTGTGTCCCTGTTGTATGTCATGATGACCTAGACAAAATGATAGGGAGAAAAAAAACAGCCTGGTGCACCCCAGCCGAAGTTCATGCCCAGCTGGGTCACTGCGACCTAACGTCATAATGAATGTTTTATAAGTTCTTGTTGAAGCATGGAGAAAAAGAAAAAAACGCCTGCAGAGCTGGCCTATATCAAAGTTTCCTCACAATAGACATACAAAGAGGAGTTTTTTTGCATGCTTTCAAGCTGTATGCATTAGTCAATCGAGTTGAGGTTGTTTGTTAATACATATCTTCATTGTTATCTGTCGACTCAGTGGCTTGAGGCAGGTTCTATAACTGTGTGGCTCCAGAATTTATTCTGGATTTATTTTCGGGATACAGTTATTCTCAAATAGAATGGTTTCAAACTTGGATAATGTATATACTTTTTTAAAACTTTGAACAACTTTTTGCAGTGTTTTTATTGGAAGTGACATCCAGTTTTAATATTTCTGTCGCCTTTGTCTCAACTTTTCAACAAGTCTAGCTCTTTGGCTATTTCATGATGAATATAAAGTCTTCTTTTAATTTTGGCAAGGTTGCTGCCAGGATACTTTTTCACGTCTTTGTAGATGGGTACTAGGTAGGATCTTGATGTAGATGAGGATTACTGGTTTTAGTGGATGCTTTACAGACAATGCTGGGGTTTCTGATAAGAATTGTCTGCTGAGCAAGTTTTATGTTTCCCCTCTGTTAGCATTGTATCACATGACCTGATGCTGTAACTGGGTACCAAGAAGGATTATCCTTGAAACAAAAAAAACTTTTGACACCTTGAAGTTTATTGGCTATTTGAACATGATACATGCGAGGTGATTTTGGACTAATAGCATCAAAGGATGCAGTCATACATGCTGCAATGCATGTGTTGCCATCACATTGTAATATTGTCACAGTACAGCCTAGATGGCTTGGTACATGTTGCAACACGAGTGGCTTCATATGATAAATATTACAACACGAGTGGCTTCATATGATAAATATTACAACACGAGTGGCTTCATATGATAAATATTACAACACCAGTGGCTTCATATGATAAATATTACAACACCAGTGGCTTCATATTATAAATATTGTAACACGAGTGGCTTGAAATAACACATATTGCACCACCAGTGGCTTCATATGATAAATATTGCAACACCAGTGGCTTCATATGATAAATATTACAACACGAGTGGCTCCATATAAATAATATTGTAACACAAGTGACTTCATATGATAAATATTGCAACACGAGTTGCTTCATATAACACATATTGCAACACAAGTGGCTTCATTTGATAAATATTGTAACACATGTGGCTTCATATGATAAATATTGCAACACAAGTGGCTTCATATGATAAATATTGTAACACAAGTGGCATATGATAAATATTGCAACATGAGTGGCTTCATATAACACATATTGCACCACAAGTGGCTTCATATAATATTTATTGCAACACAAGTGGCTTCATATAGCACATATTGCAACACAAGTGGCTTCATATGATAAATATTGTAACACAAGTGGCATATGATAAATATTGCAACATGAGTGGCTTCATATAACACATATTGGAACACCAGTGGCTTCATATAATATATATTGCAACACAAGTGGCTTCATATAACACATATTGATACAAGAGGCTTCATATGATAAATATTGCAACACAAGTGGCTTCATATAACACATATTGCAACACAAGTGGCTTCATTTGATAAATATTGTAACACATGTGGCTTCATATGATAAATATTGCAACACAAGTGGCTTCATATGATAAATATTGTAACACAAGTGGCATATGATAAATATTGCAACATGAGTGGCTTCATATAACACATATTGGAACACATGTGGCTTCATATAACACATATTGCAACACAAGTGGCTTCATATAATATATATTGCAACACAAGTGGCTTCATATAACACATATTGCAACATGTGTGGCTTCATATAACACGGGGCTGTCGGGTAGCCTAGTGGTTAAAGCGTTCGCTCGTCACGCTGAAGACCCGGGTTCGATTCCCGACATGGGTACAATGTGTGAACCCCATTTCTGGTGTCCCCCGCCGTGATATTGCTGGAATATTGCTAAAAGCGGCGTAAAACCATACTCACTCACTCACTCACTCATATAACACATATTGCAACACGTGTGGCTTCATATAACACATATTGCAACATGTGTGGCTTCATATAACACATATTGCAACACAAGTGGCTTCATATAACACATATTGCAACACGTGTGGCTTCATATAACACATATTGCAACACGTGTGGCTTCATATAACACATATTGCAACACGTGTGGCTTCATATAACACATATTGCAACACGTGTGGCTTCATATAACACATATTGCACCACAAGTGGCTTCATATAACAAATATTGCAACACAAGTGGCTTCATATAACACATATTGCAACACATGTGGCTTCATATAACACATATTGCAACACGTGTTGCTTCATATAACACATATTGCAACACGTGTTGCTTCATATAACACATATTGCAACACTTGTAGCTTTATATAACACATATTGCAATATGTGTGGCTTCATATAACACATATTGCAACACAAGTGGCTTCATATAACACATATTGCAACACAAGTGGCTTCATATAACACATATTGCAACACAAGTGGCTTCATATAACACATATTGCAACATGTGTGGCTTCATATAACACATATTGCAACACAAGTGGCTTCATATAACACATATTGCACCACAAGTGGCTTCATATAACACATATTGCAACACGTGTGGCTTCATATAACACATATTGCAACATGTGTGGCTTCATATAACACATATTGCAACACGTGTGGCTTCATATAACACATATTGCAACACAAGTGGCTTCATATAACACATATTGCAACACGTGTGGCTTCATATAACACATATTGCAACACGTGTGGCTTCATATAACACATATTGCAACACGTGTGGCTTCATATAACACATATTGCAACATGTGTGGCTTCATATAACACATATTGCAACACTTGTGGCTTTATATAACACATATTGCAATATGTGTGGCTTCATATAACACATATTGCACCACAAGTGGCTTCATATAACACATATTGCAACACAAGTGGCTTCATATAACACATATTGCAACACGTGTGGCTTCATATAACACATATTGCAACATGTGTGGCTTCATATAACACATATTGCAACACAAGTGGCTTCATATAACACATATTGCACCACAAGTGGCTTCATATAACACATATTGCAACACG